GTGGGGCCGTCCCCTCGGCGAGTTCCCCGCTCTGCCCGCGGCTCCGCCCGGCCGCGGGCAGCTGCCCAGGGCCCTCCCGCGCGGGGGGGCGCGCTCCGGATTGGCCGCGGCCCCGCAGAGGCAGCCAGTTCAGGCCCGGCTCCCCTCGCCCGCCCCCCACTCCCGCCCCCCGGCCCTTTGTACAGCGATTGCGACAAGCAGGAGCAGAGGGTGAAAGGAACTGAGGCCACAGAGAGGGAACGGGGACGCGCCAGGGAGCCGGAAGGGCGTGGGGAGGGCCGCGAGCCGAGCAGTGGGGTGTTGGAGGCAGAGAAGTGGGGAGACTCCAAGACTCATGCTTGGGGAACCAAAGTGAGCATGAGCCCCCTGTCCCTGCTCCTCCGCCCCGCGCCGTGTGTAGCTGCTGGGGAGACTCTGCGTCGCTGCTCCTTCAGGGGCCGCTGTTGAGAAGTCGCAAAAAGGAGAAGTGAATAAACCGCAGCTCCCCACGCGGGCTCTCGAAGCTGCGTCCTGAGCCACCGGCCGCGCCTCTCTCCGAGGGCTCGGCCGCGCTCCCTGACCTTGGTGTTAGTTTCAGTCCCTTGGTGTTTGTCTCGCCCCGCCGGCACAGGCAGCTGCGCAATACCCCGGCAGGGCGGGGGGTCTGGCTCCGGGCCTGTGAGGACCAGGGCGGGCGTCCGCACCCGACTGCGGGTTTGCGGCGGGACGCTAGAGAGCCGGGTGCTGCTGGTTCCCTTGTCTGCATCAGTGCGCTGTCCCTGTCCCCCCGGGAGCGTGGGACTCCTCTAGGGTCCTGGCTTCCGATAGAGGAAATCCTTAACACCGCTCCCCAGGAAGGACTTCCCCAAAAGAAACAGCCCCAAGCCTCCGAGAATAAGCCGGGGGAAAGGACGCGCTCAGGTGCTGGGTGAGCGAGATGCTTGCCATCCTATGATGAGGCCGTGACGGGGGGTAGACCGGAGTCGCTTCATCAGCTCAACAGCTGGTAATTACTGGGGGCGCGGGGGAAGGATTAGGGACCCCTTTGTAAGTCACGGGCATGTGAGAGACTGCTGACACAATACGTTCTTGCTCTATTTGGAAGTCTAGGGCTAGGCATCTCAACCCTCATCCTCCACCCACATTCCCATCTTTCCTCAAAATCCTGACCCGGGCCAAGGAGAGAGGCACCGAGGAGAGGGCAGCAGAGCCGGCGCCCCGATGCAGAGGAGGTCTGGCCACCGCTCCCTGCCGGGGGCGAGGCCTGTAGCTCCTCCACCTAATGGTGACCAATGTCTCCCAGGCACATGCTGGCCACCGAGTGAGAGCAGACGCGGACGTGCGGAACAAAGTAGTCGCGGGCCGGGTTCCGGCCTCCCGGAGCTGCTGGGGCTGCGGAGGTTGGATGCCTGAAACCCCCGAGGCTCCTCCGGGTTGCGAGGGCAGGAGTGGGATGGGCTGAGAGTGAGGCTCTAGAACGGGGACCTCGTCCTTCCGCAGCTCGGACTTCTGGATTCCGCCCTTCACATTGACGGGTCTGAAGCGAGTTTCCAGGAGAAGCGTAGGCGTCTCCCCTCCTGGGCAACCCGGTCTACAGGGATCCCATTTCCCGCCCTGAAGCCCCGCTCCATGATCACATCCAGGCGCTGCAGCTGCGGAGACTCGCTGGCAAGAACGCCGGGCGAAGGAGGTGGTCCCCGCCTGCCTTGCGGCGTGCTGCCCTGGGGCCGGGCTCCCACACAAAACTTTTCCGGCTTGGGATTCAGGACGCGTGCGCGCACGGTCCGCCGCTGTGGGCGGGAGTTGGGGCGGGGCGGAGGCGGGGCGAGGGGCGCGCGGGCCTGGGGAGTCCCCGCTGGCGGTCTGGTGCCGGGGGGGGGGCGGAACGGCGCAAGCGAGCCGGGGGTCTACGTGGGCGCGCGGGGGCCAGAGGGCGGCGAGGTGGCGCGCGCTCCCCAGCCTGCTGAGCGGCGGGGCGGCGGGGCTGCGGGCCCGGCCCGGGGCGGGCCAGGATGGCGCCTCCTCCGCCTTCGCCCCAGCTGCTTCTCCTGGCAGCCTTGGCGGGGCTCCTGAGCCCCAAGGAGGTAAGGCGACCCACCCCTGAGAAGGTTTTCGCTCGGGATCTCAGAGCGCTTTACCGAAAGTTCCTCTTGGAAGGAGTGGCGCGCGGGCATGGCATCAAGAGTCCTCCTCTGGCGAGCAGGGCCTGGGGAGGGAGCGGGCAGGGCCCTCGCCGAGCGCAGCGCCCCAGCTCTTCTGCGCCTTGGACCCACAGGTGGTGACTGAGCCGGCGGAGGAGGTAGGAGGGCGTTGCCCCGAGGGCCCGTGGCCTCTGCCCTCACAGGTAGGAGTCGAGTACAGTGGGAGAGGGGGTGTGAAGCGGTAGCCCCGTTCTGTTCTGGCCCCTCTGCACTCTCCACAAGTCACCCTCTGAGGACCTCTGCCGGTTCCTCCGGCCCTTGGTCGCCAATGTCTCCATCCCAACCTGGAGGCATGGGGCCTGCTACCCTCCCCGTCCCTCCGCACAGAGTCCCCCAACTGCTTTAATCTCTCTTCTTTCCCTATGTATAGGTGTCACCAAGAGTGACCTACACACGGCTGAGCCCACAGCAGGTAAGTACCCGCAGGAGCCATCCTTGGTGCCTGCACTGAAAACATTGAGGTCCTTGCAGCCTTTCTCCACCTTCTCTGCTCATCAGCTCCGCTCTTGACTGCTTCCCTCAGGAAGAGGCAGTGTTCTCAGTCCCAGGATGGTGAGCCATAGGCCTCCTCGGTCCGCTTCAGTGCGGTGTCAGGAATGCTGTTGAGTAGCTGGCTATGTGGGCAGTGAAAGGAGGTTGCAGGGGGAACCTGAGGGTAGTGGAAAAAAACCAACTCATGCCCCAACTCTGCTGTGTGATTGTGGGAAATCTCCCGACTTCTCTGGGCCCGCTGTACCATGTAAGGAGTGTTTCTCCTGTTACCAGGCTCCAAACTGTGGGTTCTCCTTGTGTGGCTGCCTCTCTATTTTTGTTGTCAGCGTGGCCAGATAGCTTCCCTTTGGTTTTCCTTTGGAACAATCTCACTTTTTTGATCCTTCTAATAGCTCCAGGACATGAGATCTCATGCCACCCACCTGATGCCTTTCCTCAAACAGCCCTTTCATTAAATCATTTGACTGTCCGGAAGCCTTTGATAGCTCCTTGTTTCCTGCCTTATCATGGCCATACTCCCTGGCCTGGCTTTTCAGGCCCCACCTAGTTAAATAAGCCTCACCTGACATTTCCAGATCTGTGGTTCCTCTCCAGTTGTGTTGTCCTGCTTACCCACCACACGTGTGAGTGCCAGGTTCATTCCCACTGCGGAGTCTTTGCTCCTTCATATTCTCCTCCACACCTGGCCTGTCCTGAAGCCGAAGCAGGCAGCTCCCTGGCCACCTGCCATCCATCCCATCCATCTTCGAAGCCCAGTACAGGAGTCAGCTCTCCCATGAGACCTTGCCTGATCGCATTAGCCCTTAGTCATCACCTCCAAATTCGTGTAACGCGTATAACCTATCTCTTATAATTTCACAAGTAATCAATTTGAGTTTTATTAGTTTGGTTTCCTTTGCATTAGTTCTGTTTCCCTGAGTTTCCTTTACATTCCCTGCAAGTGGAGACCAGGAGCTCTCTTTTGGCCTCTTCCACAGCATCTGGCACAGTGCTGAGCATCAGGTCAGCTCAATTAAAGGATAATTAATAATTGATGAAGTGTTTCCATCCTGGGATTGTGCACCTGCTGCCTGCATGCCCTGTATTTGGATGCTTTGGGGAGATTGAATATATAGATAGGATCAATGACTAGAAGACCTTGTCTCCATTTAGGGGATGCTTACAGTCTAGACTGGGGACCTGGAGAGCCATTGTTACAGATGCAGACAAATACAGCTTAAAAGTGTGGTCGGAGTCTGACAGGGTTAACCAGGCATTCTGTCATGGAAGGGGTCAACTTTGAGGGGTGGCACTTGATGGAGGAGGGGTGAAATGAATACTCAGAGGCAAGAGGGAGTACATGCTAATACCCAGGGTCCCTTGTCCTTTCCTGAGCCCTGATGGTGGAAGGGTCATGTAGCCATCCTGGCCCCGAGATGGGAGAACTTGGGATTCTCAGGGAGGGACCTGGGCCTGGCATCATGTCTCTGTGCCTTTCCTTCAGGCTGAGGATGTCAGCTTCTTCTACCACCCCTGTGCCCACCCCTGGCTGAAGCTCCAGCTTGCCCTCCTGGCCCATGTTTGTGTGGCCCAGCCCTCACTGGCCTCTGACTCCAGCCTCACTCAGGATCGGGTGAGTGGTTGGTGAAAGGCGGCGGTCTGGCACCGGCAGAGGCTGTAGCCCCATGTGCAAGGAAAGGAAAACTCAGGGGCTTCCTCTTGCTCGGTCCCCACCTTCATCTTAGCTCTAACAGTTACCTCCTTCCACAGCCCCTGATGCTGGCAGCATGGGGGGCGGTGCTGGAGATGGCATGGGTAGAGCCAGCCTGGGCTGCCCACTGGCTGAAGAGGAGGCGGAGGAGGAAGCAGAGGAAGGAGAAGGCATGGTTCCACTCTGACAGCCTTTCTGGGCCCTCACCCTTGGTGCCAACACCGGGAAGAGGGAGGCTGTACCGGAGAGGGTGTAAGCAGGTGAGAGGTGCTAGGCCCAGACTTGGTTGGTGGTGTGGTCACTGGGTTATCTGAGCATGGAAAGGGTGAGTGCTGTCTCTTCTCCCCTTAGGCCCCAGCTTTGGCCTTTGCTCTGCGGACCTGGCGGCCCCCAGGCACAGAGGTGGCATCTAGAGGGTCCAGGCAGCTCTCTTCTGGTGGTGCCAAGAGGCGTGGGCTGAGGGCTGCCCTTGGTCTCCAGACCACCCCCTCAGCCCTGAGGTTTCCCTCTGCTTCCCCATGGAACTTTGAGGCCAGGCAGACCATATTAGGAACCCCGGGTGAGCCGGGTAATGCCCCATCTGTGCCCACTGCCCCCCTGCTGCCTGGGGGGCCTGGAGGCAACGCCAGTTCCAGGATAGAGGCTCCAGTGCCCAAGGGGCAAAGCAGACCAGGCGGCTGTGCCTGTCCAAGTCAGGCTTCCCGGGCCCCTCAGGCAGCTGCGCCTCCAAAGGCAGCCCGGGTCCCCACCCCACGCACGGAGGAGGCTGCCTGGGCTGCCATGGCCCTGACCTTCCTGTTGGTGCTGCTCACCCTGGCCACCCTCTGCACTCGGCTGCACCGAAACTTCCGACGTGGGGAGAGCATCTACTGGGGGCCCATAGTGGACAGCCAGGACACAGTGGCTGGTGAGAAGTCCCCTCCTCACCCACCCCCGCCCCGCCCCCTATGGCTTCCCTGCCCTTGACTGCTCCCCATCCTGCTCCTAGCTGTGCTGAAGGGGAGGCTGCCGATTCCCCCGCGTCGGGTTAAGCGCTCACGCCGGAGACCCCTCCTCCCGTCCACGCCGGACAGCGGCCCGGACGGGGACAGCTCCGACTGACCTGCCCCAGCCCTGCCACTGTGGCAGGTTTGGCTCCTCCTCCCGCCGGGAGGCCGCGACCTCTGCCACGTGGACCGCACCCAGGGTCGCCCCCTGGTGGCCAGATGGGGCAGTCCTGCCTAACTATTTGCAGAAGGGTTCCTCCTTCATGTGTGGTTTGCCGGGAGAAAACGGAACTGTTGTAGTCTCCCTCGCCAAAACTCCCTGTATTTCTAATTAAATTATTTTAGTAAGTCTGGAGTTGAGTTCGTACACCTGCCACACAGACACACTCACTCCCACCCAGGACACGGTCCTAGGCCATTTAGGTTGTGTGTGAGGTAGGCAGTATAAAACCTACCGGTCTTAGAGGCAGGGTTTTAGGAGCGAGGTGGAACTCCTCCCACCACCACAGGGTGGGGATGGTGGTGGTAACTTACTGAAACACTGTTATTTCCAAGCTCCTTTTCTAAAAGACAACAGGAGGGCTTCCCTTCCTTCAGAGCAGTCTGGAGCCCTTGCAGTCTACAGCGTGCTTCACATTCTTGCCAGGACTGTCTTTCTCCTGTTCATTTCTGCCACCGCCCCGGACCTCTCCCCTCAATTCTCTAAGCATCAGAAACGGCACATGGTCACTTATTTATTTTTGATACAAATGTACATGACACACGTCTTGACAGTCAGCCCACCACCACCACACAGGTAGAGCCTGGCCCCCTGGGACAGAGGGGGGACGGGTAGAGAAGAGCTGGTGGGTGCTACCATCTGCCTCTCCAGCCTTCCCAGGCTGCGGCCCAGGTTCCAGGTACACAGATACCGCAGGCACAGATGCTGGCCTCTCAGAGGTTATAAGGGAGGGGCCTCTCAGCTGAGTTGGGGACCCCGGGGAGCCAGCCCCAGGCTCAGGTGCTCAGTTCTCTGCCCTAGCCAGCACACTCCCCCTCTACAAGGGAGGAGGAGAGATGGAAGGAAGTGGTTTTCATTTTAAGTTCATAGAGAAGGGGTACGAGTGGTGGGAGTAATGAGGGGAGACAGTGGGCAGGACCCCAGCTGGTTACCCAGGCAGTCCCTGGCCCCAGGATGGGGGAGAGGGAGGCTGAACCCCAACGCTGGTCCTGCTGCTCTGGTCCGCTCACCCCTCACAAAACTCCCGATGGGCCAGGCCTCCGGAACGGCACTGCCGCCCCGCACACTCACACGCAGGCACGCAGGGACACTCAGTTACCACAAAGTTAAAATTAAGGGGTGGGAGAGAGGAGAGAGAGAAAAAAAAAAAGTTTTTCCAGTGTTTGCTGCTGGGGACCCCGGGAACACAGGTTGGAGCCTGTGCCCTAGGCAGGGGCCGTTTGGCATTAAAGGAGAGCAGCTTGGGGGCTGGTGGCTACAGGGCGGGGACATCCACAGAAATTATGTACAAAGGAGGGGATGCCCCCACTCAGCCCCCAACAGGGCTGAATTGGCTCATGGGGGTGGGGTGTATGTAAGGGGAACCGCCCCACTCGGAGTGTCCCCACCTGACCCTTTGCTGAGGGTGCCCCAGAGGGCAAGGGGCTGGGAGTGATGCCTTACAGGCCCCTGCACACTAGAAGGGGAGGGATGCTATGTACAGGGGGAGGTGCATGGAATGTGGGGGACAGAAGCTCCTGCCACCCCACCTCCCCATCCTTGGGGGTTTGAGGGGGGCGGGCACCAGGGCACCTGGCTGCCAGGAGAGAGTGGCAGCACTAAGGGCACTTGTGCCAGCGGCTCTGTTGGGGTGGGGATTAGTATTTGGAGTGGCCCAGCTCCCATGGCCAGTGAGGTCCCAGGGTGTAGGTGAGGGTGCAGGGGGAGTGGTCACTGCTTCTTCTCTCGGGTGGTGATGGTGACCAGCTGCTTAGCAGCCTTGGCGATGTCATAGGCGCACTGGATCACCTGCTGAGTCAGCAGCTGGAAGTCCACAGGGGCGCCAGGCTCTGGGGGCACTGTCTTACGGCACTCGCTCTGCAGCCGGTAGGCGCTGGCATTGAGCAGCCGCAGAGAGCTGCGCACTGTCTCCAAGGCTGGCCTCTGGAAGGAAGGAGGAGGGAGCTGGGCCTCGGGCTTCAAACCCTGAGCCATGATCCTGGCCCAACGCATCTCTGTCCCCACCCAGGCAGTGCTCAGGTTCCCTACCCCTGCTCCACCCCAAGGCCCGCCCAGTCCTGCTCCTCTCTCTGGCCCCTGTACCTTTGGGAAGAGAGAGGCCATCTCAGTAACAGCCAAATGGATCTTCTCCGAGCAGGGCACAAAGCTGTGGAGGGAGAGGAGGGTATAAATTAGGGGGGCTCTCAGAGAAGGTTCCCAGGGATAGTGGGACACCGGCCCCCCTCTTGCCCTCTGCAACACCCAGAGGCTGTAAAAGCCTGTACCCCACCCCCATACCTGTCATGTTTGAATTCCTGGGCAGCCCGCAACAATTCCTGAATGTTCTTGGTAACCTGCTCCGTCTTCAGGATGACGTCCTCTGTGCTGGGAAGCCCAGGGTCCAGGTCTCCATCCAGGCTTTCCAACTCTGGGTGGAAGTCCTCCTCCTTGCCCAGCTCCAGAAACCTCTTCCCTTCCATTCTGAGGCCCAGGGTTAGAAAGAGAGACATCCCGGCCGTGAAACCTCTTGCCTGCGTGCTCACAGACACTCCAGGGCCCACCGGACCTCCCCCACGCCAGGGTGCCTCACCCAAGCAGGGGGTCCCCACTCTGCGTGTTCTCATAGTCGCTGTCGGCACCACTGCCGTGGCGGGAAAGCTTGCTCTGGAGGGTGCAGGGGAGGGTTGGTAGGTGAGGTACACGTTCACAGACCCACAGAGCCCCCCATCACCTCCCATGCACACATCCCATTTCGCCCGTCCCTTGTGCACAGGGGATGGGACATTACCGTATGGCGGCTTCCTTCCTGGGAGCATGACAGCAGCGGGGAGGAGGGAGCGAAGGGCACAGCTGAGGCCGACACCCCCTTCCGGATCTGAAATCCAGGAGGGCTGGAATCAGTCTCTCCTCCTCCCTGCCATCCACCTTCCAGCTTCCTCGCACTGAGCGCGGGGACTGTGTATGTCCAGACATCCCTGTGCCCAGCATCCAGCATAAAGCCTGGTACTCAACTGGGTCTGAGAACCTATTTGCAGAAACAGACCCACCTGCCCCAGGCTCTGCTTACCCGGTAAAGGCCGGCAGGGACATGCATAGAATACACGGTGTCATCCTCCAGTTCCTGGGGGTTAGCACAGTGGGTGTCACGGAGGGTCCTGTGGTGGCCCCAGCCCTGTTTCCCCACTCCCTTGAGACCAGTTAGCAACTCACAGTGCTGTGGAAAGGCTGTAGCCGGGTGGCAAGCTCGTCCCCAGGTGGGCCCCCAAAAGGCTTCAGGGCGGAACCTGGTTCATACATGGAGAAGGCCTGGCGGTCCCTGCGGTGGGCACTCGCACCAGGCCCCATGGACACGTGTTCTGCCCGCTCGCTGGGGAGTGGGGGTGTGGGCACTGGCCCTGGCGGCTGCCGGATCTGCAAGTTCTCCGCCTGCAGCTTATGGATCTGAGAGTAGAGTGGTGTCAGAAACTCCAGAGGGTCCAGGCTGCACCCCCAGCTCCCCACCGGGAGCCCTCACCTCCCTCTGCAGCCTCCGGAGCTCGTCACTCAAGCTACTGTTGACCTTCATGAGCTGCTGCACCTTTGCCTCGGAGGTAGCCAGGGCCTTCTTTAGCTCTAGGTACTCCTGCAGCGTCACGGCCCCATCGGACAGGTCCGAGGAGTCCATGCTCTGCAGAGTGAGACATAAGCCAGTCAGCTACCAGGGGCACAGGAAGAATGCCCTCAGAGGCCTGCTCCCAAGGCTGTGACCAGCCCACTGGTTCTCCAGGCCCCGGGCCACAAGAGGGTAGAGCTGGGTCTTGATGGAGGCCTGGGGAGGGTCGGGGAGGGGCAGCGCTCAGACCCGGGCACGGTTGTTCCGCGTGGCGCCGGCACTGCGCAGGGGCTCCTGGTCCGTGTCCTCGTCCGAGGCCACGCTGTCGTAGTCGTGCTGGTCGTCGAGGTCACTCTGGCTCCGCGCAGATAGCTCGAGGTTGTCTGAGGGCACAGGCCTGTCACTCAGGGCTCAGCACACAACCCATCTTATCATGCCATCCCCAAAAGGTTGCTATGAAAGAGAATATCCTGGAACAGTGCCCACCGCCCACACCCCATCTTCACCCTTCCCACCTGTGGGGCTGCTCAGGCTCTTGCCCTGCTGTCTCCGCTTGGCCTCGCTGAGAATGTCGATGATCAATGTGGCAAACTCTCGGGCATTAAAGCGGGCCAGCTTCTGTCGCCCCTGTGAGGTAGAAAGGGCCGGGCCGGAATGAGGGGCACCCCTGCTATCTGCTATCTGCTTTAACTACAGCTAAAACATCTCAGCCCGGCTCACCTGGCCAAGGCAGGGGGTGAGGGATGGCATAAATTCAAGGTGCCTAGGGGAGCTCTCACAAAGATGCCAGAATGCCCCCCCTCCCAGAGGCTGCTCATCAAGTGCTCAAAAGAACAGCCTCTTCCCCATTCTCATATCCCAGTGCCAGCCAGGCCTGGAGGGAGACCTCGGCCGGCGGTGGGGGGGACAGGCCCAGGCCCAGGCCCTGTCTCAGACAACAGCCAGCGAGGAGAGGAAGGGCAGAGCCCACAGAGCTGGCAACCCCAGGAAGGGAAGAGACTGCCCCAGGCCCCCCGCCCAGTCCCCTTACCTGATTCCGCGTGGCTGAGTATTCGGGGTTAACAGGCAGGAAGGGCACAGCACTGCGCTCCGTCACCAGGGTGCTGTGGTTTTGGGTAGCCAGCCACACTGTGGGGGAGGGGCACGAAGCAGATCATCCAAGTGGCCAGGCCCAGGGGCAGAGCGGGGGGAGTGCTGAGCCCTGCCCTCCTAGCTCCTCTCCATGCCCACCGAGCTTGGTGTTCAAAACAGGAGTGGTCTTCAGACTGGAGAAGCCAGGTGGGGCAAGGCTGGTTGAGGACTGACAGACAGAATGAGGCGACTCCTTCACGCCAGGCCCAGCCTTGAGTTTGGGCTGGAATCTGGCTGTGGCCAGGAAGGAGTGATGCAGGGGGGTGGAGCAGGACTGGGGAGACAGCCAAAGTGGGAGGCAGCCAGAGCAGAGATGAGCCCTAGTCTGGGGGTGGGGTGGGAGGAGCTCAGCACACTCTGCTGGGCTAGGGAGGCTACCCAGGCTGGCTTGCAGCTGGCAGGGACTCACATGCAAGCCTGCTGAGC